AACTTAGGTCCAGGAAACTGTGCTTATAGAACTATGCAGAAAATACACATTCTTTAAAATATACTTTTTATTTTGATAAAAATGAACCTAATGAGGAATCAAACTGTAGGACATGATTTCTAGCTTATTGTGCATTTATGAAGTGTAATGCATTTATATACCATTTATGTGGTAGACAAGATGATTTCCTCAACTGCCTGAAACGTGAAACACACGATGAAATGTTAGTGGAAATTACTATCACAGACTATTTTTCTGAACATCAGAACTAGTAATTTAGACAAATTCAAATGAAAGGGCAAAAGTATTTGGCTGAATTGAGAAAATAAAAAAACATCCTGTCTACACAAATATTCCCAGCAGCAGACACTTGGACCACAATGTTTATTATATTGGATGCAGAGTGAGTGAGAGAAAATCATTTTTTCCTATAGTATTTCAAAGCTTTTTTTTATTATTAATATCATACATGGAGTCATGGGATGTTATGGCTGGGTTAACAGACTTCTTATACAACCCATATGGGTGAGTATATATACAAAACTGAGCCAAAGACACAGAACAGAGATCACATCCCCCCACATTTAGAAAACACTTAAGATTAGCAAATTTATTCCCTAAAGCACTAAAATTCTGGATTAAAATTATTATCATATGCGATACTTCCTCTCTGCTGTTTCACACATAAGATCCAACATTTTTACCGCTGGCTCTGTGAAAAATTTGAGATGCCTCCACAAGACTCCTGCATTGCTCATACTTGCCTCTGCTGAAGCTTTTTTTTCTTCTCCTAAGATACCGCTCATACTTTGAGTCCAAACATAAAATTAGACCCTTGATTTCCAGTCTCACCCATAGCACAGTGGTCCTATTTTGGTGCACACATTGAGCAATTATCTCAAAATATACAGTAAAGCTTCCACCTCTTCATTCACATCCATGTCTACATATCTCTCTCAGATAGAAAGCAGGGGAAAAGAGTGCTTTCTACCAAGCAAAAGAAAGACTTAATCACAAGACCCTCCTGAATCTCTTCATTGCTCTTGAGTTGAGTGATGGTGAAGATGTCACCTCTGTGACCTCAGTTTCTAAAGCTGCAAAATGGGAATAAGCAGTTAAAATAGATTTTTATTAATATCCTAAAGGTTCTCAGATGAAAATCTTACTGAAAGCAGTTTCCTCTACTTCTTGATTTTGATGTAAAAGTAGATTACAATTACAGATTTCAGCATCTTCTTAATAATAATGCCATGAATAATGCTACTTACACAGCAGTTTTAAACTACGGATCTCAGTGTTGTATGGAAAACAATATTGTTGTATTCATTTTACAGCCACGGAAACTGAGGCACAGTAAAAAAAAGAGTTTCTCCCACTGAGCAGGTAGAGCATGTGTGTCTGGTCAGTGTCCAGCCTTAAGAACTATATGCCTAGGAAAATTAATTGAAGCACTGTTATTCAGTGCTCACTAACTTATGTCTCAAAAATCTTGAGAGACAAGATATGTGTTCCTCATTGCATTCAGGTGTTTTTCCACATGGAAAAACAAACTGGATTTAGAGCAGACAGCTAAGTGGCTAAGACCAGTCATTCAAGTTTGTACTGGCCACCTTAAATTTCCTTCAGACTCAGTGAAAACAAAAGGGTACTTCTGCAAGGATGCTTTATTTCATTGTAAAATAAATGTCATCCAGACTAGATGGAGGTGCTTTTTTTTTTTTTCTCGTTAATTATAAAAGAAATGTATAGTTGTGAGCTCAGACTTGCACATGAAGCTCTTAAACATTTCAACTTAGGAGTCATCGTCACAAATTCATAGGACAAGGGGAAAATTGCTCTTTAATTGCTTGTGCATGTATGTGTGTATACATGTATACATATGTACACACTTTATCTCCAACTTAGAATTTTGTATTTTATTTGGGTGAAATTTTCCAGTCAAGTATTCAATTTATCAGTTGACCTCTGTTACTTACATAAGGCAATGTGATAAAGAGTTTGCCAGTTTGTCAGCCATATCAGAGCTGCATTAGCCCCTGACACAATTAGATCTGAAAAGCGTATGCTTTATGTAGACCCCACACTCCTGCTTTACTGACAAATGTACCTCCTAACTCAAAATTTACTAAATATTGAAGAGAAGCAAAGAAGATTTCAGTCTTTATGGAATTATCCATTTCTTGAGGGGAGTAGCTTCTTAAATTTCACACAACGTTTTAATTCTCTTCTTAAGTTCTGTATTCACTGAATTTTGCTTACATAAAGGCATTATTACAAGCACGTAAGTATTCATTGTTTAAAAATTAAATACCAACACGAATTCTAGAATTTGCAGGTGTTTGAAAATCTCAATTCCCAGAGACAGATTCTCTCTGTTTACAACACATACTTGTTCTGATAAAAATATCAAGTGTAACTGGTGTCATTTTCAATTATAATACTATTCCTGTGATGACAAGGCGAAGGAGCAGCCCATGTCATACTTGTGCAGACTGTGCCAGGTCCATTTCAAGAGATTCAAATCCAATTCACAATTCACTGCCTATAATCAGTGCTAAAGACAACCTTGATACTGTCCACTCAGCCCTCCCTCTTGTACACTTGGAACAAAAGCAAATCACAAAGTGTTGCAGTGCCAAAAGCCAAGACTTGCTTCTGTACAGAAATGTCCTGTATATGTAAATGATCAGGAAATACAGCTCTGGGTGCTTGAGGAGGTTAAGCACCTCAGCTTTACTACAATCAATTAAAAGAAAATGGCCCAAAAAGCACAGATACTACTGTAGGGTAATAAACTAGACTTTATCAGTGACAGTGGTGCACATTACAAACTTCAAACTCATTCCTTGCCTTAATCCATCAGAAACTTCCTGGCTTTAACAGGCTATAAACAGCAGAAGCTTTGAAGTCCATGGATTAGAATCACTAATAGACAGACTGAAGGAGAGACTGGCTGAAGAGCCAAGTGGAATGCCCTGCATGGATCTGAAATGAAACAAGTTAATTTAATCAAACTGACCTCTCCTCAGCCATAGCCCAAGATAATAATGGTTATAACAGCAATAAGGAGACAAGGAGCACTGGAAACAAATGGTCATTTACTTCGATGCAATGCTTAGTCTAACATAAGGGCACAACTTCCTGGGCATTCAATTGCAAGTTTATGCTTAGAGGTAACAGCAGTTTTTTCTGAAGCTATTAGACTTCATAATAATTAAGATAGAAAAAATTAAACACTTCAATTCTCAAGAATTTCTAAGTTTAAGATTAATATGAATGATTTAACAGAAAAGATCTTGCCAACGTTTGTTTCAACTCTCCTATTCTTCTACTTTCTTTTTCACTCAAAGCAAAACATGGAAACAATCCATTTGGGTCAAATCCACCTGCACTCAGTAGATGTTCGCTCACAGCTTACATAACTGAATGAGTGTAACATTAAGCATTTCAACTTTCAGAGAAAAACTTCTAACTGCAAAAATTCCAGCATCAATTTATATGCAGCACTTCTCACTTCAAAAGTTTGCAAAGCATTTTATAAACCACTAAATTCTGAGATGTTTAGAACAGCAGTATTACAGAATGCTTTTCAAAGCAAACAATAAAGCTACTTGCTTTGAACTGCAACAAGATGCCAAAATGGCAAATGAGCCAAGTGGAGGGTTGCAATAGCTTGGCTCCAGAGAAGCTGTCAGAGCATGGCAGATTGAGACAAGTGGTCAGGGATTAATTTTTGCACTGCATCTTACCACTGTGCCAAATACCTAACTCTGAAGAGTGGAAAACTGCAGCAGCTGAAGCTTCTGCAAATACAGTTACAAAGCAAGGAGTCCTAACAGACTTCTTTTGCTCCAGAAGACAGATGAATACACAAAGTTCTGCACCACCAAAGTTAGCATTTTTGAACACACAGTCCTAGAAGAAGGCATTTATTCTCCCAGAAAAATATCACCTACATTTTCAGATGAGAATAACCAATTCATAGCTATGACATACAGGAAACAAACTCATTTACAAGTACTGTAGATACAGGCTTTCATTAAGAATGAGAAAAGAAGACTAACTGCCCAAAATAATGCTCATGTCTTTTGTACCAATGTTTAGAACTTATGAAGATGGTGAAGGGCCTGGAGCATCTCCCCTATGAACAGTCTTGCCTTGAGACTGAGAGGGGACCTGATCCAGGTCTATAAGTATCAAAGGTGTGGGGGCAGAGTGGCGAAGCCAGACTGTTTTCAGTGGTGAGTGGAGACAGGACAAGGGGAAACGGCTGGAAACTGCAGCATAGGAAGTTCCACACAAAGTTCTTGTGCGCAAGAACTTCTTTACAGTGAGGTGACGGAGCACTGGAACAGGCTGCCCCAGGGAGGTGGTGGAGTCTCCTTCTCTGGAGATGTTCAAGATCCACCTGGATGCCTACCTGTGTGACCTGGTGTAGGGAACCTGCTTCGGCAGGGGGGTTGGACTCCATGATCTCTGGAGGTCCCTTCCAACCCCTACAATTCTGTGATTCTGTGAATGTCACCCTACATAGCAATGAGCACAAAATAAAGGTCTGTGAATGTACCCTCATTTTAAAATAAACACGAATTTCAAAGTTGGAGGGATCCTGCAGCTTCCATCAGATTCTGTTGTGCAAAGAGAAACACAGTATCATATGTGTTGGAAACAAAAACATTTTAATCAAGGCCCATATGTCTTTCTACAGAGAAATAAAATCAAGCATCGACAAAACAAAGATGGTTTCTCTTTACCTCTCTCCAAAACAAAGGTAAGGAAGCCAATGTCTCTGCAATTACTTCATGTTACCTTTGACATTAAGCTGGCAGTAGAACAACTGGAAGGTTTCTTTTCATCTACTTTGGCCCTTCTCATTTCACTTTCAAAAGCGTCGCCACAAAAATCTCGGTTTGCTGTTTTGAAAGTAACTACAGAACAGTTTTTGAAGGCATGTTACTCCCAGTTTCACCCTCCTCCACTACACCTAGACCAAGTCTTACCTTCAGGTGGATTCTTGTTCTGGTTGTTCCAGACAACGAGCAATTTGGACAGGCTGGGCACTTTGGACACCTCGGTGATGACTCGGAAAAGACTCTCCACCCTGTCATAAGTCAGAACAATTGCTGTGAATCCTTGGGACTGTGGTGGGATCAATGGAAGGAAGAGTGGATTGCTCACACTGCTCCATTTCTGTGAAGGAAAACAATAAAATAATTCAAATAAAAACAAGTGTTACAGCAGGAAGTAATTCACATAGTCAGCATTCAAGCATCAGAGGTGAAGTAGGCTCAGAGTAGACAGAATAATTCTCTAATTTCAGCAGAAGTGAACTTCAGCAATTTCTCAAAACTTTCATTCCAGCTCCTCTGTTAATTCAATTTTCATTTTTGCCTACAGGCAAAATTGCATACCGGAGTGGTTTTAGGGAAAAATCAAGTGGAAGAGACAGACAGAATTTGCAGAGAAAGAAAACTATGGTAAATTTTGAACTCAGAAACCAAGAATCAATTCTCATTTACTACTCACTATTTCAAACACTTACATTTACAGTCAGAACTCATTAAGCAAACAGAAACCTAATCAGCCACACAGCTTCAGAAGTGAAAGCAAACAAAAAAAAAAACAACCAGCAAAAAACATAAAATGGGAATCAAGGAAAAAAACACCAAAACAGACACTAGGAAGAATAATGTATTAGCTCCCACAAAATTTGGTTTGTTAAATGGGGTGAGAAAACCTATTCTGCTTAAAAAAAAAAAAAAAAAAAAGCATGAGATACAAAGATGAATTTCAGAGAGTTATTTACCCTTCCTGAATTTTAACTAGGGCATCCCTCTTACGACTTTAAAGGTCTTATTTCAATACACTGCCAGCATAAGGAAGCCAGCTCAACTGGCAAGAGACAAGACAGTGAAATTCTCACTGCGTGTGCCAACCTCATTTGGAACCAACAACGCAGGGGAGGAAGCAGTGAAGGGACTGCTCAACAGGAATGAAAGCGTCGGTGTTGTAGTCTCAACTTTTCCATTCCAGCTGACGTTCCAAGCAGATACCAAGGGTCAGAGAGAGAAGCAAAGGGAAAAATAAGACCCTTTGGGATGAGGTGAAAAGCAGAGTTGGGAAAGCAGAAACTGAGCAATGCTGTTTTGCAGGGAAGTTCTGAACGCCAGCCTGTAAAAACTATGGACACTCATAAGCAGCCACTAACTGCCTGCAGGTTACAGAAACCTTGTGAGGATCTCCAGCTAAACTCATAAGTCTGCTTTTGTTAGGAGAAAAACAAGTTCTTGGATTTTTGTGTGTGTTTTTTTTTTTTTTTTTAATTTGTAACAAATCAATAAATATTGCAATTTTCCGTGTTCTGATTTTGTCTTTGGGCTACTTTTCTTCACATGCTCTACAGTCACCCTCGTGCTCAGTGGTAAGACATTTCTAACTTGAATGTTTTCTAACTACGAGGACAGGGAGAACTGAGCCTATTGTGCTCAAACAGATCATAGCATTTTTGACCATTTTAACAAAGGAAAAAAAAATACAATGTGAATACTATTTACTTCTACATACACATCAGCATGGAAGGGAGGATAAATACATGAGATAGAAAAGCAGTTTTACTTTAAGCACAAATATTAGCACACTGTTTTATCTATGATGGTCTAAGGACATGTTCCAGGCAAGAATCTGTCAGTAGGAGTAATACCAATTACTAAACTTCTCAAAACAGCTGGAAAGACAGATTAGTCCTCAGCTGCAGATGCCCTTTATCATGTCTCATACAAGTATATTTGGTATACAGTGTTGCTGAGGTTCCTAATGGAAAAAAATGCAGTTTTTAGCCCACAGACGTAATAGAAATAGTAACAAATATATTCAACTTCAGTTCACGAAAGGGACGTGGCTACCTATGATAGCAGAGTACTACATTCAGTAACTCAGAATATACATATTCATTGTTTTAACAGTGGATACATGCTGAGACAAATTTTGCATGCCAGTTATACAAGTGGGCTAAGTGTCTGATTTTATTCCAGTTTCAAAAGTTCCTACAGCAAGTCACAATCACAATGCCAATAAAGCAGAATCCATCCCATTAAAGCTTTACAAATTCATTTCCACACAACCAACCACCACCCCAAAATGATCCTTGCATGTTGAGAAGCTCTTTGAAACAACATTCAGAACCCTCTTTTCATTAATACTTGTAGCTGAGGTTTAATTTCATCGTCAGCAGGCTACCAAGAAAATCTTATGTTTCTGCCCTACAAGGAGAAATAACTGGTAAAGTAATCTATGTATTTATTCTGTATTCTATGTATTTAATCTGTATTTATTATTTACAGGTGAGTATTGCCACTTAAATTAATAGTCCCCGCTTTTTCTGTGGCCATAGCATCTGCTACAAAATTACTTGCTATAATATCCCTTGAAAAGGAGTATACTGTTTATATTGTTCTAAGACTATTTCAGTTACTCAACGAAAAATTAAAGATGCACATGTACATGTAGCCTACAGAAATTATCATAATTTCTCTTAAAAACCTGTGTTTTATGTACATTTAAATTCCTACTTTTACTACTTTCAGAAAGGCACAAACATTTTCCCCTGTTGTTTATAACTTAGGAAAAATAAGACAACATTTCAGGTGTTTTTGCTCATGCATCTACTACTAGATGATGGAAAGGAAAAGCCTGTAGACCCACACTAATGGATGGGAGAACCAAGCCGCTCATTTGAGAAAAAACATTTCAAAAAGGCAATTAAGCATCTCTCAAGTGCCATTAAGAGCCAACCCCCTGCTGCCTGCCTGAAGAGTGTGTCTACAGTCTGAGACCTATTGACCCTGCTTTCTGCAGGAAATCGGGCAAATTCAAGCCTCCATAATTTACTAAAGTCTTCCAGATTTCTCCTCGGGAAAAGCAAACCATGCAGGCAATTAATTCAACAGCAATCTAATTAAATCTCCATTATGGCAGCAAAGTATGAAGTGGATAATGACACAGGGATGGGTTTTCCTAGTCGTTGATCAAGAAACCAAGGGTGAAAGAACATTTGCTCCAGACCCATCTTTATTAACACTCATGATGGAAATTCATAGGGACTTTCACTCTCAGAAAGAAGAGCAAGCAGCAGCATTGGACTGATTATCCATCACCTCTCCTTGACAAAGTGCTGACATTCAACTACGGATAAGACAATCCTTCACTCTTGCCCTCACAGCTAATATAATTAGAGGAGCCAGGATAATGAATCTAAGATTAATAGGTTGTTTGTTGTGAATCATTTTTATGGGCAAAACAGATCAAGTTCAAACACCAGTTTCCTTAGAGTAATTTCATGTCGCTTAGGCTTGGCGGCCCTTTGCAGATCACATGAACAGCCAAAGTAGTGGGACCTGAATAACAGCAAGAACTCTGAGATGGCTTAATGCTGGGGAGAGAGGAGATTTCAAGCTTGGATAAGTATTACAAGGAAGGATTCAGGCTACTGCAGTTGTGCATGCATACTTGTATCTTAGAAATAAAGCAAGAACTTCCCAGACATCTTTTAGTGGGAAAAATCAGTAACAGCAGTTTGGAATGAAATTTCACTGTTACCATGAACAAGACAGTGGGTTTTCCTCCCTACATATTTTATTTTCAATAACCAGATTTAGTTCTTGTTTTAGTCAACATATTTTAGAAATCATACAGATTGAATGACTACAATTCTCAGTTAAAAGCATAGAGAGACAATGGCAATAGAATGCTGAACTTATACAATAGCTAAGTAGTCTGTCTATATATCTAAGTAAAGCAGAGATGCATCCCTTGCCAATGTAAGGCTTTTTCAGCTGTGTTGTTCAGAATATCAATCCTAACCTCAATGTGGTTTCAATTATGAATCACTAGACCAAAAAGGCCTTGATTTATTCTATTTTTCTCCAATTATTCATGATAAGCTTTTATTGAATACTTTGAGAAAGTATTTCATCATGCTTCCCATCCTCGAGTGGTCATAGGGCAAAACCGAAGGAATTAACCTCTCTCCTTCTCTGGAGCCAACCACGGCACTTATGCTCCGCAGAATCACAAGGCAAGTTGCATACCCAACATTTCACATTCTGATGAAGATTACAAACCTTCCCCAAAATCATTTTAGCTACGAGGCACACAGGAGTTTCTATCTATTCCTACTTGAGTGATGAAATGTGATACCATGTGAATCACAGATTACAAATGCCAAAATATATCATGCGACTATGATGCTAAGTTATTCAGCATCTTTTTTTGCTTAGTTGCTTAAATTTTATCAGCTGTCCGAGCCCTTCTGACACTGAATCTATTGGCTGAACACATCTTTTGACATAAAAACTTAACTTCAGGTTCGTTTCTTCAAGTCTTTAATTTTAACAATTTTCAGTGAGAAGAAAAGAATTATCAAGAATAAAATTTGCGTTCATGCTTTCAATAAGGCAGGTAGGTTGAAGAATCAAAGGGTGACAAAGATGATTAGAGAGCTGGAGCATTTCTCCTTTGAAGAAAAGTTGAGGGAGTTAGGCTTGTTCAGTCTGGAGAAAAAGCAGCTTCAGGGGGACCTCACTGTGGCTTTCCAGTACTCAAAGGGAGCTTAGAAACAGGAGGGAGACCAACTTTTTACATGATTTAATAATGACAAGACAAGAGAGAATAGTCCTTAATTAAAGTAAGGGAAATTTAGATCAGACGTTTGGAAGAAATTCTTTAACTCAGAGGGGGGTGAAGTGCTGGCACAGGCTGCCCAGAGAGCTGTGGATTCCCTATACCTGGAGGTGTTCAAGGCCAGGTTGGATGGCAGCCTGGGCATTTCTCATTTACAGGTAAATAAGTTTTATAAAAGTGTATATTAATATTTGGTTAATGTTCTGAAGATACCAGGATGTTCGTACAACTATAATATTGGCATCATCTGGGGAGTATGAGCTATAACATACTAGTCAAAGAGCTTAAAAGTAGTTTTAGAAATCATTTAGAAAGTGTGATCTGCCTGGTAATTGGACAGAGCCCACAAATGAACATCCAGCATAGGATTTTCTAAAGCAATGGCATTTGTTGCACAAAGTTGTCTATTTGTTTTAGTTTAAGCCAAACGATGGTTCTGTTTCCTGTCTCACTGGGAAAAACTGAATCTAGTATGTTTAATAGTATGTGAGGCATGGTGATATTCTCAAGTGATTTATTAAAGTCTGATCTACATCACCCAAGGTCAAAACTCAAAAGCATCTACTTACAAACAAAACCTAATGTTTTATAGGCCTATGTTATAAACAGGCTTAAAAGAATTTCAGCAAAAGCAACTAAATAAAAACTGGAAAAAACTCATCTGACACATTTTCCAGAAACCATATATGTTAGGAAGGTATGTAGTACAGTAAAAGGAGAACTTAAATAATCACAAAATAGCTAGCTTGTGAAGTGAAAAAGTAATTTACCCCCATTAGTGCACAACAAAGTTCTTAATTGAAGATAACAGATCATGTCTCAAATCCACATCATTAGTTCTAATCCAGCCCAAATTGGTAACAATCAGAATGAACAGCATATAAGTCGCCATTTTCTGGCTTATTTGAACATTATAGATTGCTGCTACCCCATGGATAATGGCCAACCAATACAAAACACCACTTGCCCTCTCCTCTAAAAGGCAAAAACATAGTGTATTGCTATTGAAACTACTACTTCATTATGTATCAGCATGTTATACACTCACTGCTCTTCCACTTCCTTAACAGTATGAGTAGGAAACTACAAGTAAGAAAATCATCCACTTTTCTTTAGAAAAGGACATCAGCCTTCAGTCAAATGATATGAACACATAAAATTGTTTGGATCCCATTGCTCACTCAGTGTATTAATATGCAATTAACTGCACATGCATCTATCTTCTGTGTACCTTATATCCCTTTCTGCTAGAAAAACACCCTCGCACTGCTGCTGTGCCCACATGGTGGTGAAGATACTCAGGCAACAGTCTCACTAACATTTTGAGCCAATATAAGCCAAACTCATGCCAAACAAAGCAGCCTTCCAGACACCCACTCCCTCCTTTGTTCCTCCCCATCTTTCTTTTATTTTGCTGGGTAAGTTTTACAGAAGGAAACAGATTTCAGTCAATTCACTACAAGTGATTTGGAAAATTCAAGAAGGAGGTAGCACAGGGAGAGGAAATCATCATCCAAATGTGGAAGAATGCAGGACTGCTTCTTTTGGCAACAGTATCTGCTTGGAGCAGTTGGAGTGTTTGGGTGACTACAGATTGAATACATGGTGGTGGGATGGTGTTTCTTTGTGCCGAGAAAGGAGGAACACCTGGGGGTAAACTCATATGCGAACCTCGTTATGAGCATGCCTCATTCATTTTAAATGCATGAACATCACTTCCATGCTGACTGTCCAAATTAACAGCCATCCCCTCAGATAAAAACACCAAAGTAATTTTGCTAAAAAGAGAACGTAACCATTATTATGTTTGTGGATTTTCTAGTTCCTGATACCAGTTATCAGTCAAGGTAAAGCAAAGAGAAAGTCTTCAGAAAGCAGTTGCAAGTCCTTAACAGTCCTGCTTTGCAAACGATGTCAAACTTGAGGCAGCCCTCTGTGAATGATGCACAGCTTCACCTTTACAGCTACTGTAGTTCCAGACCTAATCAAGTATATCAGACCCCCAAGAACCTTTTGTCTATCATACTTAGAGGCTAACTCAAAATAGGCTTCATCCAACTGCACTATAATGAAAACAATAAAAGGCCAGCAATATATAAAATCATAGGAAATAGACCGAAATTAGATGACGAATCTTGTAACAGGGAAAATTCATGAGTTTGCATCAGCTCAACAAAATACAGAGCATAATACATACCTTGGACAGTTATGAGTTACTCTAATTGTTGAAGCAGAAATGCTTTCACTGCTTTATTTTACATCTGAAGCAGTTGGAACAACTGTGCAGCAAAATAACTAACAACCAGGGCATTTTATTGAGCTCTAACTCTCTGTTAGTTTTCAGGACTTTCTGCTAGAAAGGGGCCATTCTCCTAGCAATTAAGCACACGTAACAATTAATACAAGCCATTTCTGTCTGAATATTCCATAACCAAACCTATGCTGTCGTTTTCAAAACCTTATTGCTTTGAGCTCATTAACAGCTTTGTGCTGATCAGAGGAATCTCTAACTGAAGCAAGCCTGTTGCATTAAAATTGTGATTGTACCCTCTGCACCTCCTGCTAATCTGCCTACAGCTTTTACATACTCTTTCTGCAACTCTGCACTCTATTCCTATCTAAACCATGGAATGGGAACAAGAGAACATATACAAGCACTACATTTAATCCTTACTAACCACAACATCATGGTGAACAACAAGGAGAGCTAGAGAACTGCATGCTGAGCCAGCCTAGTTCAAAGGGAAAAAATAAATGACAAGTTCTGGAGGTACAGTTCTGGCCAATAACAGAAGAATTTTTGGCACTGAGTTACTTGCACATTTCACTGTGATATTAATGTTAACTTGCAGGTGCTTCAACAGTTACCTATATCCTGACCCTGAGGCCAACGTGAAATAACTTTTCTTTAAATGTTTCAATCTTGGAGTTTACCTAGATATGAATATAGCAATTTTCTTGCAAATGAGGAACACATTCAAGTCATCTTTAGTTATTTTGTCTTCTTATCAGAGTTTGAGAATACAGTTAACATCTTTGACTACCCCAAAAGCACACATGTACCTTCTTTCCAACTACCATTTTTCATCCAGGCTAACTAGAGATCACAACAGTGCTATGAGTCCACATTAGGCACAAATTTAGATGAGAAATATACTTGGGCTCAAGTAGATTCCTTTTTCTGCAATGAGCAGAATTCTGACAACTGAATACCACAATTATTTTTTTTAATGTTCTAAAAGATCTCCACAACTTATTAAATTTACTAGCAGATATTGTATATATCATCACCTTCCAAACTGTCTGAATTCAGAAATATCTGAGTCCTGGAGAATATACTCCCTTATAGATCGCAACTGCAATACGTTCTCATCTCAAAGAGATAAAACATAATATATTCAACTAACAAATAATCTCAAAAATGGGTTGGAAAAGGCTCCTGTTATTCAATTCCATGGAAAGAACATGGTTCAAGACCCAACAGCATTAGTTGGCTAAAAAAAGAAAAACACCACAAAAAGAGCCTGATAAAATGAAATTTTCATGCATGCTCAGAGCAGCTATCAAAAAACACAGTTAAAGATATCACAGGGTTGTGCACTTCTGTTCTACAAATTTAACTGCTTTTGAACAATTCCCAATCTGAATTCTATTTTCTTTAACTGACCCCATGAGAAAGGGTCACAGGCACACTGTGCTGCTGGCTAATATGGAGCTTACACAGACCATAAAGGAACTTTTTTATGATGTTTCTGTTTCATATTGAAGTGAGAAATGTATTCATGCACATATTAAGCAATTTTCATAGACTAGGATAAATATCAAATTCTTTCAACTAAGACATAAAATCACCAAGGAACTGACCATGTATGGCATGAGACTCATGATATGAGGTGTTAAACTCCAATATGCTGGACAAATTCCAGCCTGTCTAATTGCAGTCAGCCCTCTAACTTTTCTTAGCCATTACATATTGATAAAACATTCCTGCTTACTCCCCTGCTGCCCTAGCATGACACTGCTGTTATGTGTTCCACCGCAGCTTCAGTGCTCTGCTCTACACCATGCTCTGTCTGTGGCAATAAACCTGCCTAAGAGAACCTCTAGGTTGAAAAGCTAAGTATAAATATCTTTTTTTCAAAGTACGTATTTAAGAAGGATTAGAAAAAGCCTGCTTGTTGCCCAGACTTAAGTATAACTTCTCCAGAAATTGACCAGTTTCCAGAACAGAAGAGAACCATAAGAGCTTTTTGTATTCCTTTTAAAGCCTCCCTAAGGATATCCTCTTCATTTTACTAGACGCTTCTAGATGCTTGACCTGCTAGCATAATCTGAAGGTGTTAAGATACTTTGACTCCCCATTTATAGAACACATTCTTCTTCTGCAGCTAATTTGTTGCTTAAGAACTGACAATTGTCACATTTGTTCTCAAGTCAATGACAAAAGTAGACCAATGCCTTTGGCTAGGCAGCAGAAATTTGTCTTCTAGCCCTTCCTAACAACTGTTCACACTCAATCAGCCCGAGGAGTTCGAAGTAAAAAGCGCTACTCTTGAGCACTCCTACACAGCTTCCAGAGAGACTCTCTTTAACTTACCATAAAGAAAGACAGTTAACAAGTTTGTTTTTATTAGTAACACAGAACTATTTTTTTATATTTTAACACAGAGAAAATTAACTGATTATGAGTGAAAATCATCTGCAGCCTTTATATGGTAAAAAATCAGAACCAGCTGCCTGGTGCAGAAGGTTAATTAATTCTCCAGCATTTGTTCTTAACAGAGGGAGGTTCAACCAGTGAAACATTTAAAAAATACAAAAAACAAAACAAAACAAAACAAAACAAAAAAACAAAACAAAAAAAAACCCACAACCAACACCCCAACAAAACTTTGATCATCGGTTTCTGTTCGAGAGAAATTATGTAGAAAAAAGCACGGAGAAAATTGCAGGCATAAGACTAATCAGCTATTTCAGCAAAATTATGTTAAGGACTCTTGCAAATTAAGATCGTCAGTATTTCCACTGACTATTTCCACTGCAGTTATTCAATCTTAGAGCTCTAAACTGACCCTAAATGCAAAATAAATAAATGTGTGTACGCATGCATGAAAAATAAATAAATACACAAATAAATAAATAATCAAGCATGCAATTTGGAGTGCAATAGCCAAAGTTCATATTTCACAGCCAGGACATAAAACAAACTGCTAGTTATTTTGCCAGTTGTCATAAAAATATATTAACTTCATCTGTTGGAGTTACCAACACAATGCATACACAAACACACACAGAATTATTACCAAGTCTCATTCCACATACCTCTTATACGAGGAAGAAAAAGTCATTTGTTTTATGAGTGAATCAAATGAATTTACTTACCACAGCTGGGGGATCATTCCATTCTTCATAAGAAATGGCAGCATATGGATAAATTCTATCATTGATAATCTGAAGAGTAGCAAGAGCGATTGCTTTCATCGATCGAAAATATGCTTCCCAGAACCACCTTGCCTGCAAAGAGAATAAAATTCACTTTCCTACTGAACAGATCCAGCACATAATAATCAGTTCAGGCTTGACGCATACTATCTGCTCAGTGTAGCCAACAAGTCAGGTGGAAATTAAATTAGGAGGCATGCTTACTCCTACTAGGATATTTCTGTAGTGCCAGCAGACTTCAAACTCAGATCCACTTCCATGTAAAAGAAGACTTACGGCCAATAAAAGGAAGCAACAGCATTACTTCGCAATTGATTAATAAGAATGAAAAACCTTGCAAATCCTCAAAGAAATCAGTCACTTTCACATTCTTATAATCAGTTTTCCTCTTGAAAAAACATCAAAAGCAGTTTGACCACTGAAAATAAGTTACTGTTATACTCAATTTTTCCAAAGCAGAAGGACCCACCGTGCAGCTAAGCAGCCTAATAAAGGCATGGAGCATAAAAGGTGGAACTTAAGTCACTTTTTAACTAGATCAACTGGAGAATTTTAGTATTCATGATCTCCATCAAATTAATAAGTCCCCTAAACTGCCAAAAAACAAATTATAAAAATAAATATCAAGATCTTTCATAACAGTCCATGCGCTTTGCTTATTAATAACAAACATTCATCTGGGCCAATTTACAACAAAGGAAGTGTAAAATTGCATGCTGAAATGAAGCATGTAATTTCCTTGTACCCAGGCACACGGGGTTTCACAGAGAAGTCATTCTCAAGCCCTGTACAGTAAGTTTAAATCTTATCCCAGTTTCCACATAAGACACAAACGTTTGAAGAAAAATAGGGTTTCAGAATTGAAAATGCTCACTTCTCTTATTTTCTATTAGAGATAAAAACATATTTTTAAAATGCCTAGAATCATCAAATGATCCTGAAGGATCACTTCCAACCCAAAAGGAAATACACACTGCCAATAAAAATAGTTCAAGTGTTTTGGCCCAAGAGACATGACATTTTTCAACCTGATTTTTCTTCAGGAAACTCCAGCACCTTGAAGTGTCCAGAAAGTAATTTAATTTAAAATCTCCCTATGGTTCAGTATCAACATTTGTATCTAGATGGTAAAGCAATTAGAGGAAAACAGAGCAGAATGCAACAACTGAAGGAAAAAAATGTACAAAGTTGGGTAAATGCTATTTTACTGTTACGTATTTCTTAAACTGCACAAAGACTCTACAGAAAGGCCAGTTTTAGACGTGTGATCTGAGAATATTATTATTTAGAATATTGTACTACCGAAGGAATACCAAGCTTTTGGAGGTACAGACTTGAAGATATAAGAAAACTATAGTTTTAACTATAATTGTAAGTCACTTGTGTGTTTCTTTATGCAGGCTGTTGCCTTTTAGTAGAAGACAAAGAGTGGTTCCTGCTTGTATAATTTGTGCTGCAGCATCCGTCAGCTAAAGAGTGGTGCAGAAGAAAGATTATGGAGAGGGAAAATGCAAAAAAAAATCTTTGGCCAGGATAGTGGCCCCAGCACCCTGCTCTGTGGGGAGTCTGTAAGACAGGTCCTTCAGAATTGTTTTGGTAAATATTTAAAAAGAAAAAAAATTCATGTTCCAATTTTAAAAAACAGCAACAGCAAATCTGACAGGAAAAGGGAGAAGCGTACTCGAGCACTGTCTTTATCATGAGAAGACATAAACGTACAAGCATGCACCACAAAAAATGATTTCAAAGTTTTACTAAGGTGATAGAGGAACATATCCAAAACGTTACAATTCTCTCTGCAACTCATCATCCAGAGAAAATGCTAAGCAGTTTCACTCCAGAACAGAATCACTCTCTCTTCCCTTGATAAGGCTTAGTAGCTGGGTAACAGCCTGATAGAGTCTGACTTCAAAACAAATATTATGTCCAGCTGTAATAGCAGAACAATTAAATGAACACATTAGAATAAGTTACATCTGAACCCTTAAAATATCAAAAAGACAGTAAATAAAGCAAGCACTACATTCTAAGAAAAAAAAAATACATTCTTTTATTCCTGCCCCATTTCTTAATAAAACATATTATACACAACTCACTGCATGAGACTCAGAAAGAAAATAAAATATAAATTGAGAATTAAAAGTGACCAGATCAGCAAACTGAAGAAACTGAAACACAGAATGAATAGAGATTCCAAATATCATTTTCATATGAAACAACAGCTTGAGAAAACTACTGCTATAAGCAGTGCTGATCATGAAGTGGAAGGTGTTTTATGGAGTCTTTCAATATGCAACTTTGTGAGTAGATGGGAATGTGTATTTCACTGTTACTAAATGACAACATTCCTAATCAGTTCTGAGATTATTTGTATTGTAACTATGATTATCCAGCTTTGTAACAATCAACTCTTTAACTAAACTAAAACTCCTTTAGCACAACTAGGATGGATCTGATGTAGCATCTCTTTGCTGAAAGAATGTTTGTAATGTCAGGTAAGACTACACCTTAAAACCAGAAGCAACAGTGGAGAAGAGGGCAGAGGGTATTTATCTTTTAGGGACTAACATATATATAATTAATTTTTTGTAAGGAGCTAGAAAATGTTCCCACAGTTGGCGGTAATTTTTTGGAGTGTGTTTCTTTAAGGCAGAACTCAAAACCTTCTAAGGGGATTCTAAGTCCCCAAACAGATGTTTCAGGGTCTCATTACTTCCTCCCCACCTTGTTTGCTTTTATAAAGCAGAATTGATTAACATGGTTTGCCAGTCTCTGCTGCTCAGCATGGTGAGTTGCTAAACATTTTGGGAAAGTTCTCTATTGGGAAGATGTGTGTCAATTCCATTTGAAATGTATTTTCTGCTCTACTTGGTGTGGTTGAAAAGCTTATGTTGGAATGTAATGAATACCTAGTGGGAATAAAAATCCTATGAACACAGACAGGGATATGGGAGAGAAAAACAAGAAAAGCAGCACTGAGATCTGTTCCTGCCTCCTATGCCAACTTCCTCAGTATTCTTACACAGTTTTTCTGAGCTGTCCATTTATCTTTCCCTCATCTGTGAATTCAGGAGGACAATAGTTACGTTCACAAGAGTAGCTTTAATATACTGGGAAATAGTTCTACGTTTTAACAATTACAGTGTGTTGATTGTTGTCACAGCTGACCTGAAAAGGCTTAGAGAATCTTGCAGTAAGTGATCCACATTTACAGATCTTGTCTTTCACACAGTATTGATTATACAAGGTCTGCAACTAAGATACAGTCAGGATGCTATTCCTTTCAACTTGACTGAAATCAACTAGTTCTTTAGGAGACTGCTTGATTAGGCTTTGGAACTTTCTGAGAAAACACCTTATGTGGGCCACAGACTTGGAGGAAATGCTAAATTTGTATACACCTAAATATTGCTCAGGTCACAAGCAAGCTAAATTATGAACAGAGATCAAACGTGTACTTGGTAAAACTGCCAAAACAGCACAGTTGAACACATGCTAACCTATAGCATTTTACTCTGGGTGTACAGCTTATCTGGAATTGCAAACAGGTATTTGAGAAACACAGCTTCTTTTCCTCTTCTGAGTTTCTAAATAAATAGAAAATATGGGATAGATGCAACACAAAAGATGGAAAAGTACTGTTTTCTTTAACTGTTTTACCAACATGCGGAAGAGTCAAGGAGGGGGGCTGAAGTATGTGAGAGGTCCCTTCCAACCCCTACAATTCTGTAATATGGAATGACTGACTCGATAGGGAATGAGGAATACAAGATATTATTGGGTTGCCTGATGGGTTTGAAGTGACTAGCACATCATATGAGACAACAGATTCCCCATTTAACTAACTCATCTGAATCAGGAGAAAATTTCACAAACCCAAGACCACCTCACTGTAGAAGCCAAACACTGAAGGTATTGGAGACCAAACCCTCACCACTCTTATAGACGTAAGATCTGCAGACCAAAGTCACAAACACAGGCATGCTAGGAAGAAACGGCTTTAAATTGTCTCTCTGTCCCCTTGCTTCTCTGAAGGATAAAAATGCTTCCTATGATGTAGAGGTATTAACGTATCTCTACAGCTACGTGTATACACTTTGAGTAACAGTTGCAACATCCATAACAGTACTTAGGTTCTTTTAAGAAACTTGCAGATAGAATGAAAAACGTGGCATTTCATCAAACAAATCTTGTTGTCAGCTGCAGAGTTTTGTACAGGTGGGATACGAAGAGACCAGGCAGAAAATACTGAGCATATACTGATACAGGCAAGAGCTTGGGACAGAGCCATTTGCAGCTATTTTTGTAGGAGACAACAGGAAAAGTGCAACAGGCATCAAGATTGAAGCCTAATGACAGAAAGTAACATTTATTTAGTTAAGGTGTTATTTTCCTAAGAAGTAAACACACTTGGGGGCCTAGCATCTCTTTATAAGCTCTTTACAAGCCAGCACAGCATCAGGTTACAGAAGTCCATTCATATAATGTTTATAAGTTCTAGTGTTAATGCTACTAATGGTGCTGCAGAGTAGAGTGCAAGACAGATCAATGTAAATCTTCTGATTGGTTTGTGGAAAGAAAAACACTAGGAATAAGGAAAGGAATACTTTTTGTAATGTTTAGATTAAAAGGAAAAATATTCCCCTAAGCAAACTTTTTAGACTTGCTTTTTTCACAGCCTACGACTTGGTGGGAGTTAGGAAAATTAGTAAACAAGAAAAAACAAGATTCACAAAAGAACAATAAAAGTTAACTGCCTATAAACCACTACTTTTCTCAGCTTCTAGGTCAGGAGCCATGACACCGTAAGATTTTGCCCAATGCAGGAATTCAGTGTTCCCAAAATGCCTTGAAAAGGTTTATGATGCCTTTGAACATAACCATTTTCATGCTACCTGACGTGACTCTCCTTCAGTGTTTTCCCCTCTTGATGGCTCCTAGTGTTCCTGGTTTTCACACCCTGACCAGTTGACTTAGTGAAGTTCTGGTGAAGAGAACAACATGATGTAGCTGCTGCAGTAGTTCTGGCCTTGAAAATCATATCCAGGTGATATGTGATTGTCTTTTCCATC